TGGAATTCATGCAGTTTTGCATGCAGCTCGTCATCGCTAATGCCATCCTTGAGAGTTTTTAGATTTCCCCATGGAAATGTGGCGTGCGGATAGCCGGGTGTGGCATATGCTGCCACAAGCTGATCCCGCCTGACTTCATCATCGAGTACGATTTGTTGAAACTCCGATTCAACAGAATCTCGTTCACGCGTCATGGCTTCTTTTTTCATAAGCGGTGCTTTCAATAAGGCCGAGAAGTAGTCCATACTGCTATCTAAATGCTCTTCAGATACTTCAAAGTAGAAGCAAGTCTCTTCGAACTCTGTGTGAGCATTGTCAAACCCGCCGCATTTTTTTATATGTGCATCGAATGCATTTTCCGCTGGGTATTTTTCGGAGCCCATAAAAATCATATGCTCCAGGAAATGTGCTAAACCTTGATATTCTGCAGGTTCCGTAAACGATCCGACATCTACCAGCAATGCACAGGCTGCCAACTTTTCATCACCTGCAATACTCATTGAATTTAAATTTGAAACGATGTTCTGTATTGGATGACTTACCTTCTTCTGACTCCAAGTCGGAATCACTTTCACCATTGTCCGTTGTGGAAGTGCTCATGGACTCTTCATCTTCGCTGCTGGTGCTACTACTCTCTTCGGCGCAGGAATCTCCAGTCGAATCATAAGAGGAAGATGAAGACGAAGAGGTCAGACCGCAGTGTGGAATAGGTGTCGGGTCTGACACCAGCAATGCACGTATACCATTGCTCAGTAAGAGTGTTCTGGAAAGTAAACAAACGTTTGTAACGCACATCCTTCTTAGCTTTCCATTTGTTTTGGTAACTTACTTGTAATATTTTTTGTCGCTTTCTGACTTATCAGGAATTTCCAAGTATGTCACGGTTGATTCTGTATTCACCATGTCTGTTGCAGAACGATTTCTAAAATATCCAGGGCGCGTAGGTGCTGGGCTACGGGGAATCAAACTGCCCTTCAGAAGCCTACTGAAACTTTTTGATAATGGTGTGGCCTGCTGTGAAGGCTTAAAACAATATGTAAATTTTACGCGACGTTGGAAAGATGCCTCTGCTGCTAAAAATTTTGCGAATTTCCGAGTAAACATAAACTTTTTTAACCTCACTGTGTTGGAACTATCGAGGATCACACGCTCAAAAATCTTTATTGTTTACTTTTGCGGCTAATGGTTTTAATTTTGTTACAATTTTTTTTTTTTTTTAATTTAAATTGTCTGAAACGTAATTACAATTTATTGGATTTTTTCTTAACCAAATTTGCCGCAACCTCCATTGAAAAATGAAAGCAAAGTGACCAAAAATAAAATCATACACTGATGAGTTTTTCTTGTCTGTTTACTTTGACGTTTAGTCCAGTTCACAATTTCCACACGGGCATTGTTGTGAATGAATGAAAGCAAATGTCAGTTGGAAGCTTTGTTTCTTAACAGGTAATTATTACTAATTTCTGCTGGAAAGCGTTTCTTAATCAAAAAACTAGCAGCTCTCGTTCTTACGCTCTGCTTTTCTAGGCTCTCCTGCTAATTTCTAGCAGCTGTCAAAATAAATAAAAAAATAGGTTTGTATAGTAACTTCTCCAGTAAAAGATTGCAGCGAGAGCGTAAAATTGAGAAGAGGAAAAAAACTAGCAGAAAAAGATATTGAACACAAAACTAGTAAAAACGTGCAATTGAATAGTTGTTGCACTGTTTTGATATTCTGCTGTAAACATTTTACTATTTATTAATCAGTTTTTAACTCTTTGCTTTAAAAACAAGCACTTACACAGTCCAGTACATCATTAATATTTTGATTTCCATTGATTTTACTTTTGTATATGCGTTGGCGTCGCTTCAGGGTTATAAACCCTAAGCACGGAAACAGGCCGCCTCCGAAGAATGAACTTTTTAAATAGAAGCCTCTGGGGTCTGGGGTCCTCGCGTTTGTGTAGAAGAAATATCATATATCCTTGGCGGCACCACTCTTGTCCGGCAACACGGAAAGCTCAAGTAATTGCCGTCACTTACTCGAAACAAGCGAAAACGCAAGTAAAAATTGTGATTTTTTCCAATTTTTTTAAGGGCTCCCTAGGGACCTATAAGTGGCTTTGGCAGTTGGGATTTACATTTTTCAAAATGGCAGTTCATGTCCTCTCTAAAATGCACATTTACGCGAATTCGAAGTTGTATGCTTTTGACGAGCAGCCGTGTTCCAGTCGCTTATTCAGATCTGTATCTAGCACGGAGAGGAAATTATGCTAAAAAACCTACTAAAAAACTAAAAAAAAATTTAACTACAAATTTAATACAAAAGCTTGAACTGTTCTATCCATAACCAAAAATTTGCTTGAGTAATATAATAATTTGTCGGTGTTATCAATAAAAATTGCCTAAAGTAATTATGAAACTAAACAAACATAGTTGAGCACGAATTGGGCCAGATTTCTACCAGCAGAACATTGATGTTGGATTAGCGGGACTTTTTTTTATCAAAACAATGTAAAATAATAAATGAAATCTCCATCGCCGATCACTGAAACGCAGCAAGCAAAGCTTAAAGTGTGTTTGCACTGTTCAACTTTGCGTTCAACATTTGCGTTCAACTCAGCGCAGGGTTGCACGAAAAAAAAGTTGAATGGCTAAAAATATCAAAATATGAAAAAATATCAAAATATTCGCCATAAAAAGGTGTTTGCATTGTTCAACTTTGCATTCAACTTTTGGTTGAATGGCCTTTCAACTAATCGCTTTCAACAAAGTTGGTCGCCAGCCAATATTTAGCCATTCAACTTTTTTTTCGTGCAACCCTGCGTTGAGTTGAACGCAATTGTTGAACGCAAAGTTGAATAATGCAAACACTGCTTTACGCGAAAAATCAATGCTGCCACTTCGAATGCTGCATGTTCGAATTGTGTTATTTTTCAGAGATCACAGGGTTGCTTTTAGCATTTAAATTCTTAATGCAAAAATGGAGTTGCAATTAGGTGACGAAATTTGAATAGATAAATGTACATTGAAAGTAGGATTTAGAGCTAAATGCGCTAAATATGCATTTACCCTTAAGCGAAAACAGCCCATAACTTAACTTGTACTGTGATAGCGGCTTTATATACCTGCGCTCGCACTCAAGGCTCGTTGTTCACTTCGAGTTGCCGCAGTATTCGCCACAATATTCAAATTTTCGATAGGAAACGTATCGAAATTAAGAAACAAATTATAATTTAAAACTTTAAACAATATAATGATAATAATATACAATTGTAATGCACTTTGGATGCAATATAAAAAAAATCGTTATAAAAACTGAATTGGCATATTTTCTCCGTGAAGAGGAATAAACTCCACTCAATTTCCCGATGTAATAAAAGTTGGTGAATTTTTTACCATTTGGTCCATTTTTAGGTCCGAAAAATAAATTGGAAAAGGCAACCGTGCCCATGAGCTAGGTAAAACTACGCAGCGGTTTTGAACTACGCAGCGCCAGTGTGGTCGCCAGGGACTAGTAGGACGCAGTGGACGAAGCTACAGACTGTACAAAACACCGCACTCAGGACAGCGACGGGATGCCTCTTGATGTCGCCTGTACACCACCTGCACGGCGAGGCGCAAATGCTCCCTGTAAAGGAGCATAATAAAATGCTCTGCAAGCAGTTCCTGATCGGGAGCCACAGAAGTGGCCACCCAAGCAGACAGCTACTTGCAGAGGAGCCCTCGCCTAGGCACGTCAGGAGGCATCTATATGAACTGACGGACGAAGTCCAGAGGTTCATTAAGCAACCTCTGGAGCCGACAGCTTACAGACAGGCCCTGAACGGCATTCACAGGGACTCAGTCTCGAGTTATGTAGACTCTAGACCTGTGAATGCCGTTCTAGGCATACCACCCCCGGACATAGACGAGACGGAGCCTCATCTGCCTCGGGAGACACGCACAACACTTGCACAACTTCGCTCCGGCTACTGCAGCAGGTTGAACTCCTACTTGAGTAGGTTGAATGAGGATGTGCCGAATGAGTGTCCGGCATGCGGAGAGACCCCACATTACTCGAAACATCTCTTCGCATGCCCGGAAAACCCGACAACCCTAACGGCCTTGTCCCTGTGGACAAACCCCACAGAAGCTGCACGCTTCCTAGGGTTGCCTTTAGTGGAACTTGACGACAACGACTTAGATACCAACCGATCTGGGCGGGGTTGTTGTAGCCGCTACAACAACAACAACAACAGCTAGGTAAAATTCTGACGTTTGTATTCACCACGAAAAATGTCAAATTTTTACTTTGATCTGTCAAAATTTCCTCTTCTATTAATTGGCACAAGCCCTTACAATAAGGATTAGTAAGGAAAATGTGAAAGGACGGTGATTTTTATAGAAGTATTAGTGAATTTCAGTACATTATAGAACCCGCTAAAAAATCAACTCAACTCCCTTGTTCTTGCGTGATCTTGTGTCGTTCGTTCATGGGAAAGAGTCATGAACCAAAAATCACGAGTTTCATTTTCCCCGAACCGGTTCACTTTTAATTTTTGTTTTCCGTGTATTTACTATGGGCGGATTTAAAATTTTCAGGTGATTTTTTTCCGGGTGAATTTCAAGATACGGCAGAATAGCTTTTTGTTTTCTTTCCTTCTCGCGTGATATAGTGTCTTTCGTTTATGGGAAAGAGTAGCAGTAACAGCTGATTTTAGTGGTGTTTAATGAGCTGCTCTAGGTTACGCCAGGTTAAGATATCTCACAAAATTGTGTTTCATGAGGGTATTTCCCGCTTTAACTTACTCTCCTTTTTGTTTCATGAGCCTGCGCTAAGTGTAACTGGAGCCACTAAGAGCACAATTTTTTGCCCTAGCTTTTTTGATGCAATAACTTAGAGCACGATTTTCTGCCCCAGCTTTTTTGATGGAGTAACTTAGAACAATCAACTGTTTTGAGAATTTCTGCCTGAAAAGTGTTTCTTGAGATTTCTGATCTGAGTTGCTTTAACTTGATCCATTTTTTTTCTCTGTTTTTTTCTTCGATTTCGATTTTATTAAACAGTACTTTTAAAAACGACACTGCCACTGCGCTCTTGTAGTTTGGGCTTTACGCAGAAATGCTTCAATGCAATGCCACCCTGCAGGACCGATTTTAGGAATGTCATACAAAGCATAAAAGCAAAAGAATTTCGGGAACAGTGGGTAAAGGAAAAAAAGTAAATTTAAGGTCTGCCGTTTAGTGAAAATTATAAAAATTGTTCAGAAAAGCGATATTATTTATAGAAATGTACTGTCAATAATGAGGCGTTTACCAGACGTGAAAGCAACAAAAAATTAATTATAGATTTCTCGGCACCATATGAAATGCCAAAATGTTGACGATGACACCATACGAATAAAGAAAACAATCCATTTTACGCGACGGTAAGTTCTATCATTACTTATCTCATACAAAGCAGAGGCTAGCGACAAAAACAGCGAACCAAATAGATTTAACCTAAAGTACAGTCGCTGACGCAGAGGGCGGACGCAGTAATTGTGCGGCAGTTTGCAACACGCCCGCCCACTAAGCACCTCAATACCGTAGCGATACAACGGAAACCACCAACACAACAGAACAACCACAATTAATAAGGCAACAATATTTAATATACCAAGCATTAATATTCAAACAACGCACATATTTACACATTGGATTTGAGGACGGTGACATTAGCCAGAGGAAGAGTGATAATAATAACAATCGTACAATAAGTAATTAACACCAAATATGGCTAGCATATCCGACCGGAAACGAAATACGTTTTTAAGTTACGTTGCACCCTCTCCGGGAGATGTAAGTACCATGAATTTGTAACACTAGAAATGGTTACGGGGCTTAAGGCGAACGAAATTCATTACTGGCAGGCCTATCACAGATTCCGAGTGAACTCCCGTCGTAAAAAATTCTCCCGTCATGAATTAGGGAGAATGGCTATCAGCAATTCCGACTTATTTGTAGTTACTGCTGCCTTTGGTTTTTGTTTTGGTTTAATAATTCTGAAGCAAAATAAAATAACACGAAATCAGTGATACCAATCTCACGAATTTGGAATTTGCGGGAGTTTTTCGTGATCACGACGGAATTCATAATAGCAATTTCCCGACGTTGTCCGACGGAATTGATGATAGGCCTGTAGGTCTTGCATTGACATCACTTTTCCGTCAAAATCATAAATCCCGCTTAATTATATATTTTTTCTATTTAATAGATTCCTAGACAAGAGGGCAGCGATGATTGGCTTCCAACAGAGCTGCGTGACCTTCATTTAGCTAAACCGCGTTTGTTACCCAATGAACTTGTTGTAGCATCAGCACCTGCATACCTTTTTTCTGCGATAATGCCTGCGCCTACTGAGGGCAGTGAACTCGATATGTCGCGACAGGCGGTATTTGGCTTGCTAAGTGTCACGAATTTTAAAATGGCATTTGTCCCCCTACAGCGCCAACAGCAAGAAACTCTTCCACAGGAATCATACCAGGAACACTTATATCTCCAACGCAACGATGTGACACTCAATAATATTGACTACGTATACCAGTTAGCGGAGGGTGGTAGAGTAAGCGTACGAGCACTCAGCGGCGGTAACAAACGCAAAAAACTCGATGCACAGCAAAAAGTAATGAGTAGCCGCATCACAGCACTTCATATTATTTGCAAGAACTTTCGACTCCTCAAATTCGCCTTCCAGCAGTCGAGGTCTGGTTCTGATTATGGTAAACTTATTGCTTCGGCGCTGGCGCGATTCGCCTATCCATCACGCCATGATCTGAGTTTCGCATACTGTTACCGTGAGCCATATTATTCCATGTTGGGCAAATCCAGCGTGACCATGTACAGCACAAAAAACGATTGGGCACGAGAATTAATTCGATGTGGGGCCAATGAGTGGCAGGTTGTGAGTGCCGAAAATGTGCCCCAATTGCAAAATTTATTACAAGCACCAAAGTATACGCTGCCTCCTCACTTTGTCATCCCTAAATGCTGCACAGTTGACAGATTTCTAGACCTATCCCGAGCATTCTACGACTCACGGGCGGCTTTTTGGGTATTTGGTTATGGTAACGCATCGTTAGTCCGTTTGGCCGAATTGAAGCCTGCGATGCAGCAAGACACTAAAGTCGAGAACGTGACACTTGAGCTGGTAAGAAAATGTGATGAACGACGCACACTTAAACTGCTGCAGTTGACAGATCGTCTTCCTAGTATCCAAGATGTGCAAAGGGCATATCTGAAGTTTCGACGCCTATGTACGCCCGAAAGTCCGCAAGA